CATCCCTGTCCTTCTCCACTTGCAAAACACTGGTTGCTTTGGGGTTGTTTTAATCAGTAAACCAGAGATTCATTAGCATTAATGAATTGTAATTTCTTTCCTGAAAACAGGTTATGGAAAAATAACAGGACAAATACCAAGGTAAGAAGGGAAAATGAGTAAAGATGATAATGAATTAGTTAAAGAATGAAACAGTGTTCTGCCTGGAAAGGAAGATTTCTATCTAGTCCCTATAGATCTGTGATACCAGTTGCATTCAATACCTTGTCTGTGAGTTAGTGACCATGATCCCACTGCAGAGATGCTGGAAACACACTGGTTCCTGATGGGAGACCAGCACCGATGCCAGGACGGCTCCATCAGATGGAATTCCAGCTCTGTCAAACAAACTGCATCTTTTTTAACCTCACTGACTCTTTGGCAATGCTACATTCTCAACAGCAGCAATAGTTTTGTTGGTGCTTTGCTAAGCACAGCTCTACCACACTCTCCGATTCCAATTTTCCTGTCACTTCCATATATATGGAACAACAAACTGGTGGCTACCAAGAGTTTAAAGTCGTGAGTTTATTGCATATGTAACAAAAATGAACATGACCTCCTGGGTCCAGCCTACTATACAATCACTGTTTATTCCAGCTGGTTCCATAACCACATTAAATAGAACTAGTATTTCTTTAAATACTTTGATTTAGACATAAAATGAAACATTAGTGTACAACTTCCACAAAATAAATCTGCCATAAAAACAGTGGGAAGAATAACAAGGATAGCAGCAATACTTAAACATGACATTACAAAATAATAAATTAAAAAAGAAAAGAAAAGAAGAAAAAATACATTATAAAGTGGTCGAGGAACAACAAAAGAAGTAACAAATTAAAAACCAGATCCATACTGTGTCTCTGGGAACTTGCTGTGTGCCACACTTGAACCCCTGAACCTGGGCTCCGGCTCCAGAGGGCCCCAATGGCTGGATCTCTGATGTACAAACTGGGCTGGATTTTACAACCACCTCGACTTGCACCGAGTGCACACTGAGGAGTAAATGCTGAGTTCACCATCTGGAGCTTCCAGCAGCCTTTTTGAAGCAGGGTCTCTTCTAACATAATGCCCGAGTTAACACCAACGTTCATAAACCAGTCTCGTTTCTTCCCCATTTAAAACACGAGCGAAGTGGTGGTTTCCTACATCCCTGAGCATATAGTATAGGCTGATGAGCGGTATCAGGGCGAGCACTGAAGGTCTGTGGTACCAATGGACCAGCTTTTAGGTTTGCCTTTAGGACAGGAACAAAAAGACACGCTGTACCTTGTTACTTCCTTCAGGTCAGATCCAAGAGTATCCGTGTACAAGGTGGAACAATGACATAATGAACACCAGACTCGATGTTATTCTTTGGGCAAGTTTGAGAAGTAATGACCAGTTCAAGTGCTGGCAGACCAAGTGGGAATGAACATACAAATGCAGACAGCTGAGGTTATCCCAACAGAGAGTCAATGGCTCAAGCTGTGCAAACTCTTGTTGCATTTCCTCCTTCCCTGGCCTGGAAACCAGCCGTAGAAGAAGCAGCAGCCATCGCTTAAACCCCGTCCTGCTTTATTTCCCTTCTCCCACCCGACCAGCTTTAAGGCCTGCCTCAAATGCACATACAGAACAACACAAAAGATGTCTTCATCATCACTGAAGTGGCACAGAATTGCAAAGACAACACGATGGGAGAGGTGGTGAAGCTCTATAAAAGAGAACTGAAATCATTAAAAAGACAGTGCCCTATTCCTGTTACTGTCAGCACGGAGGAGGTACCTTCACAAGGGCTTTTAAACACAGCAAACCCCAGACTTTTCCAAACAACGATCCTTGCCTATCCTTATTTTGTGCATTCCATAAAGCACTGACCTAGCAAAGACAGCAGGGACTATCATATGTCAGCTGTGGCATTGACATAAAGCTACTTGACCTATAGATCTCCAAATCAAGGGTCTTTACCTTCACCTCGCTTGGTCTTCACTGAGCCAGTTGCACGTAGAGCTTGCGTCATAGGATTCTGGATCGTGGTGGGCTTTAGTATCTGCTTTTCTTCTTGTTTAATATTCTTTTAGGGAAAAATCCACATGAGGCTGCATGCAAAGCTTCTGGGCAATAATCCATTTTGCATGTTTCTTATCTGACGGGTTTATTGCACATTCAAACGTCCTGGAAGGGTTAAATACACTCTATGAACAGGTACTCTGAAAAGCCAGGGCCGTGGGGATCTGCTACTCAGCCCAAGACCAGAGAGATGCTTGTCCGCCAACAGTTGTGTTTCCTCTCTCTTCTGCAAAAGATCCACGTAGTTTCATTTAAGTCCCAACAACCAGAACTGCAGAAACTGGTCCCCAAGTGCCACAAGGTTCCTACAGAGCATAGGTCTGCCTACACCTCTCCTGTACAGACTTGCTGGATGAGCATCTTTAGCCACCCCATGCAAATCTCACAATATGGTACAATTTTACACCTCCGATGCACTCCTCACTCCCAACAACAAACCACAAGAACGATGGCGAATGGAAAAGAAAGAAAACCACAAAGAAACAAAACAGAGAAAGATGCCAGGGTTTTGACAAGAGTCTACTTTCTGTCCTATCACAGTTTAAAGCTATTATCAAATTCCATTAAAAAAAGACAAAATAGAAGTATTCCAAGTAGACATCTTCTAAGAACGATCTCTTACCCACAGCTGAATTTCAATGCACTATTCCATAAACATAACATCTGTTAAATGTTTCAGTAATGAATCTCTCTAAAAACCAGGCTTGCCAAAGAGAAAAAAATCCTATACAAGCAAGTCTGCTTTACTTAAGTTTAGACATATTGGACAGATAACTGGGTCTTTCTGAAGCCGTGTTATGTGTTAAAACACTGTCCCATCTTGGTGTGCAAACTGGAAAATATGTTAGTGATTCAGGTATTTGATTTGCTTTTGTTGCCCCTGGGAAGTTGTTTTAGCAATGTGTTAGAGAACAAACCTTTCAGTATTAGTTTCTGATATTTGAAGGGGGAAAATAGAGCCTTTCTGTGGCTCTCTGGAGATATTTTTCATCCCTACAGAACTGAAGTCATAAATTCTTCCCATAGCTTTCCATAACATTTCAGATGTACTCGCTGTAGAGTTACCCTTTACCTCAACCTCCAAATCAACTTTTGCCAAGGCCAAAACCCTCAGAACAGAAGTCTGCTCTGTTAACTCAGCTCTTAAGTGATTTCCATGTGAGTCTCAGAAGTTGAAGTCACACAAACACATGTTGGGTACAGAACAGCGGCACAGAAATCACAGCTTTGGGATGGAATAGGTTTTTATCCTCTGTCTCCTCCTCACGAGGCTTCTCTGCAAGGTACTTACATCAGAACGAACTATGGAAAGCAATTCTGCAGGAGGAAATAAGTGTTTGTGTGCAAAACAATTAGATTTCAGCCAGGACAACCAAAAAGAAATCATACAATACCAGTTAAGCTGTCCCAGATTCCTTCACTTTTCTCAAGGTGAGCCACAGCTTCCACTGGGAGCTTCCTGCTAAGGCAGAACTTGGATTTCTTTACCTTTCAGTTAAGTGTTGACGTGGAGGTAATTTTCTGCTAGAAGTTGACTCTTTAAACCGGTGTTTAACATGTGCAATGCAAATTCTAGTGCCAGTCAGACACTCTGCACCCATCAGACTCTTACAAGGGCTCCAGCTTGATTTAGGACAAACTAACCAGGTACATCTACCAGCTGCAAGTCCTCAGCAAATTAAGCTCATTCCTAATTACATTTTGATTCTATGATTAAAAAAAACCCCACAGGTCGCTGACCCTATCACAATATGTGTTACAAATCTAGCAGAATATCCTGTGTAACCCAAAGCCAAGTGCTGAACTTGGCTGCATTTCGTTGTATGGGAGATGGAGGAAGAGGGAAGGGGTTATCGTAACAAAGGGGAGGAAATAAAGTTGGAAACCACCAACAAAAGCCCCTACCCCCACCCTCATCCACCAGTGGCGGAAGGGAAACGGCCCCATCTCTAAGTTGTCTTTAAGTTCCGATGCTTCAGACAGCTTAGCAGGAAGTTCACAGCAAGCTTCTTCTAGCTTTTGATTTGGTGGTCCATGAGCTAGCATCTGTTTCCTTTGGTTGCTTTTTCACTCCACAGCAAACCCACATGTCTCTTCCACAGCTGTCAACAGCTTCTCATAAAGCTTCTCGTATGACTCATAAGGCGGAATGTCAATCCGGTTAAAGCTAGGGGTAAAATAACACATTGAAGCATTTTAGACTGGATATTAGGAACAATTTCTTCCCCAAAGGGGTTGTCAGGCACTGGAACAGGCTGCCCAGGGAATGGTGGAATCACCGTCCCTGGACGTGTTCACAAACCATGTAGATGAGGCCCTTAGTGACACGGGTTAGTGGTGGCCTTGGCAAGTGCTGGCGTAAAGGTTGGACTCAATGATCCTAAAGGTCTTTTCCAAAATGATTCTATGATTTCTAGCTGAATCTAAACTATTTATTGGGAAAAAAATCCCAAACCTCTAGATAGCTACACATAGATAGAATTCGGCCTCTTCAGTGGCTGAAGGAGACAAGATAACAAACAGCTGTTGCTGCAGCAGGACTGCATGACTTCATAGGGCATCTGCAGGTGGCAGATGCAGGAGTCTTGCAAATAAAGCAAGAGCTCAGCCAGGCTGCTCCCCGCTCTGCCTGCAGACAAGCTGTGCTGCTGCTGAAATGATTTCCTGTCTCTGATAGAGTGAGACTTCCGTAAGAGAGCCCAGCTCTGTGCCTAGTCTGTGCCAACAGCACACTTTCACTACATTTTACATCTGAAAACCATTCTTCGTAAGCCTGCACAAGGACTCATGGCTGTGAGTCATTTCTCACTGGATACTTCTGCTGGATCTCACATACAAACAAACTTACACATAGAAATAAACTTACTAACATCTCGCTATCCAGAATAATCAACTCTGGGATAAATGAAACCCACAGATAGCACAGAAGATAAACCAAGCTGTAAGAAAAGAAGTCGATTATTTTGCTGGCTGCAGAGTACCGATAGTTCCGAGCCAGCAGAGTCACCTTTGCATGTCACATAGTTAATCCATACCCAGGACAAACAGAGATGACTCCTTTAAACCATGACAAAGGGAAAGCAAGCAGTGACATGTGGAATGTTTTCATCTTACCAAGTGTGGGCTTTTGGCAGGTTGTCTGTGTTTGCATCTATTAAATGGATGGTAAACAGTCTGGGTCCTGCAGCGCCTGTAGAACCTTACAGACAGACATTCTAGTTAATGCACTTCAACAAAGCACCATTCCTGCACACAAATTTTGCTACTTATGTAAAGGCAAGAGAGAAAATTACAGTTCCAGCTGCAAACATGGTTATGTCATAAGCTAAATCTGTCGATCGGGTCTGCAGCTGATGAAGGGATGGCAGAAGCAATAGGGCTGTTCATGACAATCTGCACACTAGTGTTCTGGAAAGCTGCTAAATTCTATATTAACACAGTTGCACCTTCAAAAATGAGAAGACTTAAGTGCAAGAAGGTTTTAAATGTAAAGCAGAAATAGGTATTTTAATGTGGAACATCAGTTTACTGTCAGCCAGCAGATGGAAGGTTATCAGGAGGTTATCATCACCTTTTCTGACGATAAAACCTGCAATTTTCAGGCACTTGTTTTAAAGTCTAATGGTTTGCTGCTGAACAATGAAGGGAACACAATTTTCATGTGAAAAAGTCATTTGGTCAGCTCTATAACCACGTGTGTGCTTACAGTGATGTTAACATCAGTCCAGAGTTGTAGGAGACTGATAAACTAATACTGACACCAGTCAAAGGCACTACTTGATGACAGATTTACCAGCTTCTATCACTATCAGCAGTGACTGAAATGTTCACCATCAGCAGAGCTGCTGACAAATGTAAAACTGCTCTTGGGATGTAAAGTGCTTGGGTTATCCAGCCATACACTGGTATTTTACAAGGGGTGGTAAATACCCCATGATTTTTATCTCCTTCTCCCACCACAGATTAACTCAGCCTCCACATCAGTCACCTTGTAAAGCCTTGAAACCTTGAAGTGGGACACGCGTTGAACCCGTCACAAACTGCAGCAGCCTTGCCCTTCTTTCTTCGTCAAATGTTTCCACTGCTTGCCAGAACCACTTCACAATATTGCTATCTGCCATGCAGTGCTTTAGACGTGTGTTTGACTTCCAGTCATTCAGGTCTATCTTATCCAGGCCTCCTATGATCAGCTGGTAAAGGATTACAAAATGCTTTAACATTCAGTCATTTCAGGTTTGCAGCTGTAAGAATATACAAACCATTTCATGAAGCATCACATTCTTTACGTGCTTGAACCACCTTGTTGGTGCAAGGTAATGCTCCAAAGCAGCTCAGAACAGGTAATAAATCCCTCCAGTTTAACAGCAATAAAACTGAGGCCAAATACACTTAAAGTAGAACTTGAATCTTCACAAGAAACTAGAGTCAGAAGCCCACTCAAGACCCGCTTCGTTAAATCAATGCTACCTGAAAAGTACAGCGTGTCTTTAAAAGGGTACAGCACAGACTGGGAAGAAGACATCCCATTTACTGCACAACAGAACATCACTGCCCTGATGGAGGTTTGTCCTAGAGGTGCCAATACAACTACAGACCAGACAACGACAAATCACTGGCATAGAAAAAACTTCACCCCTCAAAACGTGTGTCATGCTCTACGTTTCCCACAATATTCCATATTGAGGGTCACATTTCTGAGAGCTACCATTTAGCAGCTGCCTTTTTGTGCCACCGAGGCAGCGCTCACACTCGTTTCCATTATCAGGGCAGTTGTGACTGTTCTGATGCAGACAGCATTGAAACAGGTAATGGGTTTTTAATCTGCCTTTTCAAGCAGCCAGCAGATGGAATGCAATAACTTCAGGGGATTCCTCAGCACACACAAACAACTAGCACACAGCTAGTGCTTCCAACACCACAAACGGTCAATGTGCCACAGTTTGCCTTATAAAAAGGCAAAACTAGATGAAAAATTGCTGTAACAGGAATTATTTTAAGAGGGAGCAATCTGCAGCTCAGGAGTCAACGAAAAGACAAATTCATTTCTTTTCTGTTTGCTCTGCACTTCTGTTTTAGTCCCTGTAAACGATGTGTGGATATAGAAACAGCCACGCATGAGAAGTTACTGAAGGAAGCAAGTTCTGGAGTAGATAACACGTTAGGTCTTGTCAGCAATGCCTCAGACTTGCAGTACTGCTCAAGGCACCTGCTTTGAGAGTTAATCCTTCATTAGACAACCTGATGTTGTCTTTCCCCTTTTAAGCAGCCCTCTCAATAATGTTAACTCAAAGAATGTCTGGAATAAACCAAAAAGGGATTGGATAAAGGAATACAAAGCTTTATGGTACATACATTTCAATAAGTGTTGTGAGTTGTTTGCTTGTTCTTAAAGCAGTGCTTGATTGTGGACCAAAGAAATAACATAACTATTCCATGTGGCTAAAACACATACCTCAAGTTCCTTCTGGTCGAAAGGCTTAAGGAGATGTTGAGGAATAAGTTCATTAAAACCCTTCTGCAGAGCCAGGAACTGTGCTTCTATTCCTCTCATAAATCTCCAATTTACATACAACCTGGGGGAGGAAGGAAAGAAAAAGTCAGGGACAGTGAGCTAGACAAGGACTGGGCTTTTTATAGCAGAGCTGGAAGATGCTCTTTTTACAGAGGAGCTTGTTTTAATACACACATTTAGTATGATGAGAGTGCTTATCAGTTGCTTTTTCCATCAACAATTAATTATTGCACCAGCAACAGAAAAAATAAAGTACAATTCACAGATTTGTGAATTGCTATAAGATCTTCTCACATCTTACAGCAGCATTGTGTGAAAACACTCTCATGTCAGTTATAACTCAGGTATTTCCCCTAAAAATATTTAATTCATTAATTTCACTAGATTAAAAAAATTAACCTGTTTACTACCTTCTTTCCCTTACATTTACAGGACATATCTTTGTTCTGCAATACCTGACATATTCTTTCTTGTTCTCTTCTGTCACTGGAATATTCCTGCCATTTGGTTTGAGTTCATGCTGTAAAATCCGCCCAAAAGCGTTGTGTTCCACACAAAATGTATGGTCCAGAACTGGGGTGATATCGTTCTCTCTGACAACAGAAAGACAGAGGGTAAACCTAGTAGTTTGGATAGTCTCATAACTCTCAGTGCTGATGCTGATGTTACTGAACACTTAAGCAGTGTTCAGGATTAACCTAGTAACTAACCATCTGTATTTCACACCACTAGAGGAGTATTGCCACAATGACCACTGTGTAGCTTAATAGATGTTGAAGAGCCTGATCAGATACAGATCAGACACTAATCAGTAGTACAGTAATGTGCTAACTAATGGTTAGTACATTAGATGTACTAACTAGAATCAGTACATCTAATTCTAGTAGTAGTCAGGATAATGAATAAAGTCCTGTATACACAAACACACAGAGCAATACTCTGATGTGCTTCACGTATCAATGTGAAGCACAGAAGAGATCACATGCAGTGAACTTCAACAATGCAACTTTAAATACAGAATTCAAACCAGCATTTAAATAAAGAAGCTGAGATAATGCAGTGCTGAAGAGTCCCAAAGCTACACTGAACATTAGATCTGTTCTGAAGCCCAAATTACTTCCATTTATTTCCATTTTAATCAAAGTTGGTTTTCTCTGGAAACAAGACTTTACTTGCCCTCAGATCCCTGACCTGTGTTTGCATTTTGTACTGTGATATTCTACCATGCCCATGCAATGCTTAATGATTTAGTATCTACTCTGCTGCAAGGCGAGCTAACACAGAGGTAGCTGTGAACACAGAGAAACCTTTCCTCAAGTAGCTTGAGCTTTTTAACATAGGAACAGCAAGAAAACTGATAAATACAGTACTTACAAGATCCAGACTAAACTTTTGTGTAATTCTGGGTCAACAGATTCCAGATCGGAGAGCTGAATGGGCTTCCCCAGAAGCTGTTTGTAGAAGGGAACCGTGAACCCCCCGTTGATATAGTGTCCATGGAACACAGCCAAACCCATTATCCGACCAACAAAATGGAAATAAGACAAATGGTCCTGTAGGGAGAGAGGAGAGAAAAATCAGGCAGTGGGAAGACACTGACATCTTGTGGTTATATCTGCGCCATCAGTTGTGTCCTCCGTGCAAGTTATCTGCAACCCTCCGGGCAAGAGGAGCCACCATTTTTCCTCCTGACATAACCAAGAACAGATGCACTTAATGATTAAATGCCTCAAACAAGTCTCTGTGCATTACCTGACTAATAAATTGGATACAAGTCCTTTAGACTTCTCAAAGGGCAAAACTCCAAAGACGAAAATCCCCATGAAGCCCCAGAACACAAGATGGGACAATTCCAACCAAATGACTTTATTCTTTGTTTAACCATCAAATGTTTTTGTTCTTGAGGAAGCAGACCATGTGCTTGTTTCCTTCATGTCTTTCATGTTGCTTATAAACTTCTGAAAACTGAAGCTTAAGTGCTCTGGTTGTGAATCTTCCAATCTATCACCCCATCTTACAGAGCAAATGTCAGGAAATGAGACTCAAAGAAATCAGATACTTATCAAAGGATACCTCCTCTCTCATGTTTTTAATTTTGGAACAAAACCCCTCTGCTTCACAGTATTTCAATATAGGAGTCATTAACACATTCTTCTTCTGCTTTACCCTTCAGTTTACACTCCTGTCATGGAAGAACAGCTATAACAAAACCCACAAAGTAGGTATGTTGCTCAGAAGTTAATACTCACAGGATTGATAGAAGAGTCTGGATTGATCTGCAGCATGTAAATATTATCTGTGGAGTACTGGAAAAGTCCATAATAAGGATTCAACATTTCATGGCATAGCAAGTACAACCATTCTCTGCCCAAAAAGAAAAGGGGAAAAAAATAAAAGGTATTTAGAAGGGTGCAACTTCTGCTCTGAAGTTTCAGATCACACAATTACTGTGAACCATCAGCTCTGAATGCCTATTTCAAAATCAGGCCACCTTATACTGCTCTCCACTTGCAGACCAAAAGGGTTGCTTGAAAACCCATCAAGTGTCTTACTCCACTCCCAGGCAGACTTGTTCTAGTTTAGAAGTACTGAAGGGATTAGCATCGATTAGAGAAGATACAGCAAGCTGTTAGACAACACCTTCAACAAACTGAGCCTGAACAAGACCCACTCACAAAAGCATCTTGACTTTGTACAGAGTTCAGATACCTGGTAACCAAGTGATTTGCTTCTCTGCAACCTGCACAGTATGTAAGAAAAACCTGTTGTTTAAAATCAGCTCAATCATTGGAGGTCTTTAGAAAAGCTGTTTTAATGCAAATGCTTGATGACTGAAGAATCTCTGCTTTCAGAGAGGCCAGATGGGGCAGAGAGACCACATGAATTAAAAGAGGAGGGGTTAGGTAAATCCTCCCACCTTAGCAATATATTAGGACCCAAATGGAACTGAAGCTATTTCTAACCTCCCAACTCACCAGGACAAACCCCCTTTGTTATTAAATTTAGACACCCATCTCATGCCAAAATGTTCTGAGAGAACTATCAACTTTAATGCTCAGAAGTGGAGCCATACTGGTCTGAAACAGTCTGTTGCAGCAAATGGGCAATGATGAAAACCATTAGGGCAACAGGAAGTCAACAGTGGAGACTCTCAATGTTGCCCCAGGTAAGGCAGCCCAAAATGTTCCAACTCCTTTCCTTTGTCCCTCGATGGGTTGCTGAAAGACACCCAAGTGGATGATGCAGCCTTAGTGGATTTGAGCAATTTCCCAGTGAATTGAAACAATGCATCTAAGCACCACCACGCAAAGATGAGCATTTTGGTGATGCTACAATCAGCTCCAGAGCTTCAGATGTGATGTGACCCAAAGGGAATGACTATTTTTAAGAGGGAGGCAAGGCCTCTCTCAAATTTTAGCCTTTGTTTAGGATTAGTTCATCTCCACTCCTGCTCCAACAGATCAGAATGTGACTGAGACATAACAAAAAGGAACCCTTATGGTCTTGCAATCCATTTGCTGGAAATCAGACAGATGTGTTTAGCAAAACCTCTCCTGTGATTTGTATGTTACTTCAGAGCCTATCTGCTTCTTGAAAGACCTCACAGTCTGAGCTGATCATGCTTTCACTTTTGAAACTGGAGCCTGGTGCTGGGATCAGCACTTTCTCCATACGATGAACAGCCTGTCCTAAACAAGCCTTTTGCATTCACTGGGTAAGGGTGATGAAAACTGAGTAACTATAGAGAAAAGGGGAAACCAACACCTTGATCTTGCTTTAATTCCAGTACCATTCCCAAATACAAGGCATACATTTTTGTAGCAGCCTTTGACACCAGGAGGGCTCTGGGACAACTGTTGAATCACACGCTCCTATATATGAAGACTGAAGCTACAACCACTACGTACAAACTAGATTACAAATAACTTACATACACCATTAACAGATAATTTGAAAGGGAAAGGTATCAGCCACGGGTCACTATAAGGACAATTCTACAGTTCAAAAGCATCAGACAAACCCCCAGCTCTCACCTTGCTACTCCTCCATAATCCAGCCCTTCCTCTCCTCGGAATTTCACCATAAGCCTCTTTTTCAAGTCCTTTGGCCTCATCTTCATGATCTGACGGTAGGATTCCTACATGTGAAACAAACTCCAGTGACAAGTCTGCAACACTTGGCAGGGATATTCACTACCTCTCTTGTGAAGCAAACTTACTATAATCAAAGATCAGTTCTACTTAACTCTTGAGTGACAAAAGCTGCTGTTAGGAGTCAAAAGTCAACCAAATACCTCAAATATTTCCTCTCTGGATACTTCGATGCGACAGTGACCGGCCTGTGGTTGCTGGAGAGAGAGCTCATGTCTAAGAACTTTCAACTTCTGTACCAAGTCTCTTTCATATCTCTGTGCAGGCAACTCCTCACCATCTTCTAGTGATCCCTCGTTTGGAGCTGTCAGAGGTTGCTGGCTGGGCTCTTTCAGCTGGCATTGATGGCTTTGAAAGAAAAAGAAATTATTCTAGAAGCATAACAATAAAACCATGACATTGTTTTACAATATAATGTAACACAATGATGGAAGAACTGATGAAGCTTCTCTAAAAGGAACCTGGAGTGAAACGTGTGTTCAGCTGGGTAACTCCATAGCATCGTTACTCTACGTTTGGGGACGTAAGGAATACTGATATCTACAATAAAGAGTTTTAGCAGTTTTCAGCTCAGCTGTTACATGACAATACATTGTGGAAGGCTCTGGAGCGCGATCACTGTGTGCTGACTCAGCAGTGATTAAGAAGTTTGTACGGTATTTCTCCTGTACGGAGACAACTTTCAAGAGCATAACATGAAAAGACTCCTCTAAAGGAACAAACAGCAGCTTTATAAATGGAATTATCTAACAACCACAATGAGTTTTAATCCAGCTCCATGCAAAATAAAGCTGAGGATGCTTGATAAAAGTATTACACCTACGGTTATTAAAGCAGAAAGATTGCCCCAAATAGTTGCAGCTTCATACATTCGACTATACTTATCCCTTAGTGTTTTATTTGGGTTGCAGAGCAATTATAGATACAGATATTCCCCAGCTGGCTTCAAACACAGACAACTCAGACTGAGGAAACAGCCTGATCTTGCGCACCACAAGCTGCTTCCAGGGTCAGTCCTGTAACAGTTCAGCTGCCTTGCATGGTGCAGACACTGAGCTTATTAAATCCTGCTAAACCCAAACTGGCTGTGCACAGCACCAGGCAACCAGACTCCAGCTGGCTTTATAGTCCTGTTGTCTGGAGCTCAAGGGAGCATGAAGCCAGTTCAGATCTAGTGTAGCTAGCACAGAGTTAGAACTGCTAATCCAGACAGGCTGTGGAACTGCCTGGCAGACCCTCTATCCCACACCCCAGCACTTCCAGAACTGCATATTCACTCCAGCACAGCTTGGGGTAATTTTGTCAAAGGAGCTTAAAGAGATCAGTGTTGTGCTGAAATAACGAAGCCCTCCCTTAAAAGCTGAGGACTGCAAAGCCTCATTTTTATAGAGTCTCGTATGTCGGCCAAGGCTCTGTCCAACCTGGCCTTGAACACTGCCAGGGATGGAGCATTTACCACTTCTTTGGGCACCCTGTGCCAGTGTCTCACCACCCTCACAGTAAAGAACTTCTTCCTTGTATCTAACCTGAAAGCTTAGATAAAACCAGCACTGAGAACCAATACTCAGAACCCTGCAAGAGCACTGGTTTCATCTGTTCCTCAATATCACCACACAGTTTTTCACCCCCTCATGACTCCCAGACTGTAGTTAAAATTGGACAGAAATAAAAGGTTTAAGAATCCAAACGTGACACGAATTGTTTTTCAGGCAAGGTTCTTACTTCATGATGTGATGTAGTCGTGGATCTGTGAATTGTGTGGTTCTGTTGTTATGATCTACAAAATATATTCTTCCCGAAACTGTACTTCTAACTTCCCAACCTGGAGGCAAAGGTCCCAGTTCATCACAATTCACACTGTTAAGGTCTCTAAGGAGAAAAGCAAACAAAATGTTAAAGCACTTCCGAAGTGAAGATGAAATCAATTTACATTCAAGGGAAAGGAGGGGAAATGAATTTGGTGCTCAGTGATTCAAGGCTATGAAAGTCTTTGGAAGGACAGAATAGCCATTTAATGCTGTCTTTTTAGAACACTCAGTCTAAGCAGTGCAAGTCCCTCTGTACGCATGGTACACGGATAAAAAGGTACATCAGCAAAACACCTTCCGTCTCTGAAAGGCTTTGAAAGTCACAAAGCCATACAGCTTAAAAGTAACTTCAATGTGCAACATCATCACTTAGGGGATGACAGGGCTTTTGAGGGCTGTAAAAGGAGGAAGAAAGATGTTTTTCATAGCAAAGTCTTCACAGGAAAATTCCCATTAACACTAATGTGATCCATGTGCAGAAAACCATCTATTAACCAAAGGCCTCTGCACCAGCCACTGCCTCCAGACACGCAGTTAAGAGGCTAAGGCAGCCAAATACTAAGATCATCTAAAAATAGAAACAAAAACTACCTCTTTAATTAGACAAGGTTAGAGTCTAACTAGTTAACTGATAAATCATTGAGAGTAAGGCTTTACCAACACATTCAGCCCTTTCATCCTAGATAAAGTAAATGGATATCATTCTAAGCACTGCTAAAGGTACTCACTCACTTCCAGGCAGTGTTTGAATTCAATACATAGGATGTATTTACAACAAGAAAATGGAAAACATTTAAAGCCCCAGCCACCTAATAGAGGAAAACACTAAGAGGGGTAAGAAAAGGAAGGAAGGAAACCTGAAGAGTATTTTTAGACAGAAAAGCTATTGCTAAGTCAAGTATTCTCTAGACAGCTGGCATGGATTCATAGATTATCCAGGGTTGAGGACATCACTTGATGTATTTCCTTCCCTAAATCCAACCATGCAACATCAGTATAAATGAGTAAACTGAGAGGTTTTAGAAAGGTAGAAACACTTTGTACACCAAAGGCTGCATTAGTGTCACAGTGAGTATATGCCAGCAGGGGATACACAGGCAGACAGACAAGCCTTTGTTAGGCTCCTTAAAGAAGATTATGGTTGTAACCATTTGTTTCAGTCAGCTGTGCATCTGAACGTGCTGTAGAGATCTGATTACCCCAAGTTTTAACCTATATCTGTGCTAAATGCCAAGGTTTTTGCACTGCAAGTTGGTAGCATGAAAGCCACCTTTAACTAGAGTAAGTGTGACTGTGACTCACAAGGAACTTCTTGTGGCCACTTACATTGCTGGTCCTGAAAACCTGGCTCTAAGACTTGAGAGAAGCAGCAATATCTATTAGCATCACTTGGAGAAAAGACAAGGCTTTGGGCACACAAGCCTGACATGAGTGACATGAACGAATGAGCACTGTCATTTCTTCTTCCAGTGATACCAGCTAATCTAACATCAGCTATTTTCTCTCTCAACTCTATTTTTCATATCCTCCCATATACTATGGTTTTATCAACACTTTTGCCTGCACTACTTGATATCATTTTTCTAATATCCTGTATCACATTCATGTATTATCCAGCCAGTGCAGCAGCTGAAGAGTCACAAACTGTGTTTCACTCTTGGATCTGGCTTGCAGGTGGTCCAGTGAAACAGCCCAAATGCAGAGCAGCTGAGTGCCAGACCCGAGTCACAAAGACCCGGATTAACTGCAGGTTAAGGCTTAAAGAGGCTTTACCAAATTAATCAGGTGGAGTATTTACATTTTCTAGCTGCACATCATTGGTCTAAAGCATAAAAACCCTCAACATCACTTCAGGTTTAAAGATGGCATGTAATCTCTGCTTCAGTTAAAGGTAAAGGAGCATGACTAGAGCAACAGTTACAAGCTCAATACTCAAGAAACAATGGCTTGAAGAGTCACTTTTTTCTTCTATTTGCAGCCCAAACTGTTTTCATTAAAAAAAATAATAAATAAGGTAAGATTCAGAAGTCTGAAGCTTCACCAAAATACAAAATCACACTGAGATGTCTGACTTTGTCAAATGGGAGCTCCTGAAGGGCTACATAATTTTTGCCCTTTTGTTTTACATGATTCACAAGCAGATAACTCTTTCTTTCAAAACCTTACCTTGGTGAAAACTAACTAGAAAGACACCAACTTACTCCTCTGCTCACAGCTCTCCCTGTGAGCTCAGACAGAGCATTTCACAGATTTTTGCTCTTAAAATTCAGTTTACTGCCATACACACATCAAACCTCCCTGACTTTGTATCTACAGATACATACCTGGGTATCCTTGGGTCATGCCATGTGCTAACTCCAGTCTGTGTGTGCAAAAAATAAACCTGGCCCTGTACCGTTGTTCTTTGTTCTATGGAAAAGGAAGAAAGATTATTCTAACTTAAACATCTGGAAGAAAAAAAACCCAGAATAAATTGAAAGCCATTAGAATATTCCCTATCAGACCCAGGAGCAAGTACTCGAGCCATCCCCCTGATCTCTTGCAGCATGGACTGGTTTGTCCTTCCCAAATATACTTTAATTACACATTTCAGCATCCTTTTTGAAGCTCACAAATCCATGCACCAATGTGCCTTAGCTTCTATTTTTATTTTTAGGTTTTAAGACAACCTAAGCCCCCAAACTAGATTTCTTTACTCTTAGATTTGATGTGCTCTTTACCGAGATTTAAATTCTCCTTAATCTGATCCTCCCTAATCTTCTGTACTACTGCCTTCTTTGTTGCTTTTCTATTTTCCTGATCTTTTCTCAAATGTGGGCTCAAACCTACACAACATGCCAAGGGGGAAGGAAAAAATAGCATTACTGCTCTAGTTTAAAGAGCTCTTTCCATTCGTTCTCCCTAGATACAAAGCCAAGATTAGCAGTGAATTCTCTGTAACAGCATCATACCACAACCTCATGTTTAATTTACCATCAACCCCTCAGTGTATCCTGGCGTAGCCAACTGCTAATTAGCCAATCTCAAACTCCCATCTGCTCTGCTTGGTTCCTTTTCCAAACTGCAGACCATGAGATGCACGTGGCTGCTGCATGTTCTAACAGGTAAACCACATCTAGACATGAAAATGGGAGACTTTTCTTTCTCTGAAGGCTTTTGTAAGAGAAAAACTCCGATGTTAAAGTGCTGGAGAACTCTCACCATAGCCTTCGGGCAGGTCAGGCGACTGGTGCCCGTGTGGTCTGTTCTGAGGCGTCTGTACATGACCTCTGACTTCAGGAGTGCGAAGTCGCTGTGCCTGAAGCCTCTGATCTTGACTGGGGGACTCTGCAAAGCGACAGTTGCCTCCTCCAGCAGCCCCAGTAGTGTCTGTGTATGGTGCTGGTTCCTCCATGAAACAGCTCAGCGGCCTTCCCGGTCCGGAGTCTTCATAAACCGTTCTGAAAATGGGGAAACTTCAAGAGTTTCCATCACAAGAGAAGTGAATACAGAAATAACTGTTTCTCTTTCACTCCCTCTCCACTACTGCAACTTTTAACCCAAGATACGCCACTTTCTTCATGGGTTTATACCCAAATATCTCATGGAAGTGCCAGAATTGCTGTTAACTAAAGTATCAAGTCCTACCCAGTTTAGCTTATTTTCTTCACGTCAGTATCCACCTTACTGCCTGATGCATATTCCCAGCCAATATATTAGTTACATTGATATTTCATTTTTCTAGTATTAATTATTCTTTCCAGATGTAAAGCATTTTTCTAATGAAGTGTAAAGAAAACAATCCTTACCCTTCATTCTCCAAAAGCCCTCTACAGTCTACTACAGAGCCGCCTGTGCCTATTCTGTCCCGTGTCTGTAAACTGACTGCAATCGAAAGCAAACAAACACAAGTTAATCACAAAAGAACAACTGTTCCCTTAAAAACAACATAAAGACAAACAACCCACATTTATACAGGGTAAAATATAAAGGAAAGCTGAGAGCACACCCTTTACCAAAACTTCTTCTATAACCCTAAGGCATTACTGACGTTTTAAAAAGGAAGAAGAGAAACCAGAGGCATCACCCAAACTTAAGCTGAGTGTATTCTGTAAATATCAAACATGTCTAGTTCTACATCTGTGTTTCATGAGGCTCCAGAAAGGTAAAGCTGGAAAGAAATCACTCACCACTAGATGTCATCATTACAGTGAGAATTTAGGGGTTGCCAACTCCACTGAAATGAAACGCTTGGGTTTGGTGGTTTTACCACCAAAACGTGGTAAGATGGGGTGAATGAGCTGTAAAACTAGCAGTGCCTTGTTGAAACTTGGCAATGGGGTTAGAGGAGTCAAAGGTATTAAAACAGCAATTTGCAATATTGCTTTTAACTCCTCCAGATCCTCTTTC